CTAAATGCGGGTGTGAAGGAGAACTTGGTGTCAAAAGGACCTTAGATTATGTTATTTTCATGAAGCATTTGAAAAGTCAAAGTTGCGCAATTAGTATCTACAGATATTTTTAAGCCCAGTGCGTCTTGGCTTATTCCGTTCCCCGCTCTAAAGAATGGACTTCGGTGGACTAAGGTGTGCAAAACTTTCAAATGCGGCGTGCTATTTCAAATTGGACGAATTTGCTAGAAGCGTTACCAGCCCAAGATTCTCCGAATGGGGGGTCAGAGGGCCAAATGGCGGCACGTAGACCTGCCGAGCGTTCTAGTTAATTCCGTCGTAATATTAACTTATATAAAGAATGATAGTGATTTCATGCAGGTAGGTTAAACGAAATTAACCAGAAATGATGATGCTGGTTGTTCAAAATAAAGAAATTTCAGACTAGGCAGTGGCAGCTATCCTCTTGTAATGATCAGTTAAGGGAGACCAGGTTTGCATTGGATGTTTCGAACAGTCAGAATAGCTTTTTCTGGACCCCATTTTATACGGTATAAATTATTACAATGGACTCCACATCCACCTGTCTAAAACTATTCCCAGTCACTTTTAAACGTCACTTCTTCCATTGTTCAAACTGAATCCCTTATTTGTCCAGATTAAGTTTAACCGTGCCAGAAAGAAAATTCTGGGATAAAGCTTGTCAGTTTGTACTTTGCAATTTTTACCTGACGATTATTACTAAATTCTGGAAAGGTCATATTTTTAAAGTGGCTTCGCGTTTGTTCGTATTCTGACCATAATTTTTTGAAAAAACTTCCCCAAATGGACGGCGAACGTTATAATTACGGGTAATAGAACTTACCGTCGGCCGCTAGATTCGTAGCATGTGGTCCTTTTGCGTCCAAAGGTGCTGACAGACAAATTCTGGGTTAATGGGACTTGTGCAGTACTTTCGATTAGGCTCATGACGCTGACCAGGACAAAGCACAAAATGCCACTGTTAACTACTACGCATTGAACCTCGTCAAAAACTATGACGTACTTTTACCCTTGGACAAACACAACAATGCAGTCAGTTTTGACTTTTGTGGCTCCGATCAGCTAATTTGTCAATCGTGTCAAGCGAAGTTCAGGACAGTGGAAAATAATTAGTCTGATTTGTCTTTTTTCCAAGTTGCTTGTCAGGTTTTCGAAGCTCTCGCGGGTTGTGGCTGTTAAATTTGCTGATACTGCTGAGAATGACATCGAAACTGGTGCATTCCTCAAATTTTAGGTGTTGTACTTTTACTCCGAGTTTGACGTTGTCTGAGTAACCTAGCCATCAGTTTGAGGCATGTTCGATGTCTCTTTGAGGTAAGTGACCGTAATATTGCGAAGATAGTCTTCACTTTAAACAAATTCGAGATTTTGCAATGCGTTCAATCAAGAAAATTTCCACCGTTCCCTTCAAGGTACTGCGTTCTTAGAAGGCTTGCGTGACGCCTTTCGTTAATGAACAGCAATGTTTTTATATATGCTTTTCCTTCCCATTTCTGTTGTGTCTGGCCAGTGTAAATGACAATAAGGGAAAGGTTAGTAGTTTTCTTTCATCAAATGCCGAAGAGACGTATGCATCAGGGTTAATATACAGACACGCGACTGTCTCTGATGATGGGTCCGAGTGAGAATCCGAAACGCCAGGTCAACAAACTTCTTGTTCCAATAATCGTGTCTTCTTCCTCTTCTTGGGAATATTTTTTTCATTTATGAATGTAAACATACTAAAGTTATGCAGGAGCAGGACTTGCGTGCAATATCATCTAGTTACTGTAACCAGCAACAGTAGTACCTGACGGTCAAATTTTTCACCCATGGTAATCCACGCCGTTTCGCAAAGAGAACTTAAACACTACGTTTTGACTGCTGCAGACTGCTCCAGAATTTTTTTTAGTTTTAGGAAAGTTTGCGAAATCGCACCATTCTAAAATCCGTAGTGTATTTCGGGTAAAGCAAGCAAACCAGAATAAGTATTCCTGAAACACGCTTCTTATCACCGTGTCAGCGTATATTCATGCATTTTCGGTAACTTGATGTGTTGGTAGTTTTAAACATTAACTTTTCGACAGCATTGGCAGAATTATTACCCCGAGCTTTACTAGCCCGCCCCCTGCGTAAGCGCCCACGTAGGAATTAAATCTCAAATCTATCGTACATCAGGAATTGATTCGATGAAATGAAGAATCTTATCGCGGAAAAGGTTTCGAGGTTGCGCATCAACAACAAACAACCGTCAACAATCACATGTCTGGA